TGTCGTTTCTATGACAACCTGTAAAAATGAATCACAACAATAGGCATACAAATAAATTCTTAAATTAGCAAAAATTAATTCATATTTTTAATGATTTTTACCTACTAATCGTGTGTAGATGTTTTTGTGCCGTGTTAAGAGGAATAAAATGTTTCCCGTTAATGATATATATCAACATATATTTGAATATGTTATTATCTGGAAAACTTTAAGGGCAAACAAAATTAGCGGTGTCATGCCGTATGTGATTATTTTAATATAATTTTTTTTTTAAACACTTTGCTCAGGATTGGGATTATCACAGGTGCCATTCGGTAAAGTACAATGTTTTTACAAGCTTTTGGGGTATATTTTATTTTATTATCAGATGGCGGTAAAAAATTACAGTGGGCTCTTGGGCTATTATGATTTGATTCTGTATGCGCCAGGGATACAAATCCGAGTTGTGCAATGTATAAACTGGAACATTGAGATCAAAAGTGCCGACGCAGAGTGAGCGAACTGATTCTTTAGCTGTAAACTGTGCCTGAGTTATTTCAATTTCTTAGCAACAGGAATGATTATAGTTGGCATCAGTAAGAGGTGGTAACAGCATATGAAATTGTTAAGTGTGCTTTTTCCTTGATGGTATGCAGCGTGTTATCATCTTTAAAACTTTTACAAGGATCATAGTAACTGAAAGTAGAACATGGTTTCAAAGTGGAAAATGGTTATAAAATATAACGTTTTAAATTAGAACGTAGATTTAAAACCAAATTCATCTTAGATCGTAAATTACCAAGGTTATGCTGACATTATTTTATATTCCTTAACCTCATTCATTAAGTTTGAATTGAAAGAATTTAAACTTTTAAGTGAGATGTGTACTCATTAGGAAACTATATAATATATATTTCAAATAAGGATAAATATTTGTAAAAAAAGAAAGAAAGTATTTTATTGAGAGGTGTAATACGATGTGATATAACGTTGTGAAACACGGATATTTCATTTAGATTAATAAATGCTTCGATGCTATAGATTCAATACCTATCTAATTATTTTTGAAAGCAATAAAATTAATAAAATTCGTCTAATTTTATGTATTTTATTTAAATAGTCAATTAATTAATTACTTCCTTATAATTATTTCATAATTAAATTGAGCTACATTCTTAAAATTTGGGCTTGGCTATGAAAGTGAAAGATCGTCCATATAAGTAAGACTGACACACTGTCTTCTTCGTCCCACGCACAGACTTGCTCTTCCTAATATGGCTTATATTTACATTGTTGACCTTACATAATACGTAATTGTTTGGTAAATAAATATTATTATTATTAATAATAATACAGAAATAAATATAACTTTGCAGCAAAGTTGCAAGAATGCTATAGAACCTTTATTCAATATTATAATGAATTCTAAATATTTATATAATTTAAAGGTTAAAATAATAATTTTACTATATATTTTTATTCATTAACACAGCTATGCAGATTCCAGCTGCTTATGAATTCAATTTTATAAACCCTTTCATTTCTGATAGGATTAACAGCACATTAATTTTTAGATCAGATGTAGATTAAATGTAGGAAAAGATTAATTTTTATTAAAATAAAGTATACAGTTTTCTTTTACATAAAAATTATAAAATGTAATTAAGAGCCATTGTATTCATTTATATAAATTAGTTTATTAAATAAACAGAATATTAGGGGAAAATATACAAAACGTCATATACTTACTTCTTCTTTTTACCTAACTAAAACATAAAATATAAGATTTACAATGTTTTCTGCTTTAAAATATGTCATATTCCCCACAGTCTTAAAGATAATCTAAAACTAACTAACAGTCAATATTACTATAACCTTCGAAACAACATAATTTACGAGATTCTTCTAAATATAAGTTTATCTTCTGTTGGAGTAATTTTATTTATCGTTTGCAGCCCTGGCTCTAGGGGAAAGAACCGAATTTGTATAATTATAATTAAAAAAAAAAAAATGTTTTATTAGGTGTATTCCGAAAGGCACTGCATGCAGTGCAGCAGGGCGATATCACTGACTTTGCACAAAACTGAAACTAAATGATTCTAAATGAACGAGCTAGCAAAGTTTGTACTATGTCTGCCACAATCTTAAATCTTATGGACGTATATTCAGCGATGTCCAGAAGCAATTAGTCTAATTGGGCTTGTACAAAAATGTTATTGCTTCATCGTCGGATCCACTAAACATTAAACGGTGGGAAATAATGTACAAAAATCAACTTAAAAGGAAGTAGTCAAATAAGATGACACATAATTTTCAAAGCTCTATTAAATTAATTATCGGAAGTTTTCAGAGCCCTGGAAGAAATTGAAGAATCATCTCTTACTACAGAATCTAAGTACGAATCTACATATTTACTACTTGCGGTGACGGATTTTAAATGTATCCTTAATTTAACAATTTGGGCTCAAAAAACTAATACAACGTTATATCGAGATTTTGCAAAAAAATAAGAGAAAAATTAATATTATTATCACGGAAAATATACAATATATAAGTCAGCTCACCCTGGGGAATAAAGATGAGATACTTAATTATATTTGAACGTAAGATGGTTAAAGAGAGCTGTTGGTTTAACCATGCTCTTTCGATGGCTAGGATAGGATATTGCATTATATTACAGTCTGACTATTATTCTCTTTCTCTTTAATCAATACTATTGTGTTTCTTTACCGTTTTACTAGAGAGAGAAACGCAAACTTAACGCCGTAGAAATGTTCCGTGATTTACCTAAATTTTATCTTAGCGGTATTAAAAAATGGCACAAGATGTCGCTATCATAAAAAATAGGCATTCCAAACAAAACAGGTGCCAGTAGATAATGACAGGTTATGATATGGCAACACTGTGGACCTGGTGATTTGACAGGGTCAGTAATATAGGTAGTTAGATATCTTGATTATCCATGCTTTTCAAAATAAACATAAGCGTATGCCTTAAAGTAAAAATGTAGGCAATTATGTTATTTACTATATTCAAAAACTAAAAATTTATTTCAAAACACATTTTTGCTAAACCGACTCTGATTAATAAAGACTTGTGTGGCAATATGGCCGCTCGCAAAACGACCCGCTTTGAGCATCATTGACGCTATCAAATTCAACAGGTAGACTGGGTTGCCATATCATAACCTGTCTTTTTCTAGGGGCAGCATTTTGACCGGCCGTTGGAATGCCTTATATCTATTTATATTAAAAAATGGAACACGATGTCGCTACCATAAAACTTATCTATTTATTTGACTGAACTCATATTTATAACAAACGCTACAAATAATGTGCACACAATTACTACTAGATTTATTATTATTTTTACTGTGACATTTCATTTCAAATTCAGCTACGTTTTAAGGTATTTTGAGCTACCGCTGCTAAGAGACCACGACGCTACCTTGATAAAATTCCGTTACGAATAGCGGAATTCCGCTACGTCTGGCAAACACTGTGTAGACGTTACATATTTGTCATATTTTCAGACAACACGCTGCGCATTCACCAATAATGTGAGTAGTGTTACCCCCAAGAAAAAACCTAACTACGCGCTTGACTTTAATGCACCACAGTGTAGGATTGCTACTATTCTAATATTTCTACATGACTACAGACAGGATTTGTCACTATTTTCCAGTGCCACTTTAGGAATTAAACTATTTATTAGAGTCCAGCAGTGAATGGCCAGATCAAAGAATCAAACCATCTCGACCTTTTCAGATCTATTGTGAATATCCTTTAAAGGTTGTTTAGAGTAGCTAGTTGCCCTTTCTTTTCCCTCTCCAAGTATAAGAAATCTTAGTCTTCGTAGACCTTCGCAGTAGCACAATACCAGTACTGCAATATCCTGGTCCACTGACGAAATCAGCACAAGGTTTCTTCCGCCAGGCGGATGATATTGTTAAGCCTACAATGTCCTGTTAATAGGCTTACTAGAACCCTAGTATTTTTTTTGTTATAGCTTAGTAGATGCTTGGTGAGTTTTGGCGATGATCCTTTTAAGAACCCTTTGGCCTGTTTCTGCCCTGGTGAATTTTTCCAGAATTCCTGAGATTTTTTAACATCCACGTTTTTGTGTATGTTTTGATAGCTGTCTTTGTAACCACAGAAGGGTTTTGGCCAATAGGAGCCTTTGAAGCTCCTTCTTGAGCTAGTAAATCAGCAACTACGTTGCTCTTTTGTTCTTTGTGGCCTGGTACTTAGGCTAGGGTTAGTCTGTTTTGACTACCCAGCTCTGTTAAGGCGTCCAAACATTTCCACACAAGTTTTGAGTGTATCTGTATGAAACTAAGTGCTTTTAATGTCGGTGGCTTGATTTTCTGAGTATATGCACTAAAGGCTATACTTTGATAACATACGACAGTATTTTATTTGCATTGACTATTATGGTTTACAGCCAACTTTTCTACAACATAGTAACGAATGTTCTCAATAAAATATCGATAATTAAGTTACATTACTTACTGCTGTACAGCGGCAGTCCTAGCTACAATGTAGTAAATAATATTTTTAATAAAACAGACAATTTAGTTGCATTTTTTACTGGAGTACAGCGGCGATTTCAGCTGTACCGTGGTAAATAATGTTTTTACGCAACTAGGCTAGTGCATTGCCTACACTGATTGTATATTATACATATTTTCCATAAGGATAATTTAGCGATTAAGTAACAAAAAAAATCTATTTAACGGTTTTTATTCTACCGTTTACGAAAAATCTTTCCAGTATAGTTTAGTGAGTTTTCTTTAAACAGAAATGCTGGAACAAAGGAGCGCTAATGTCAAGTTCATGCCTCAGATCGGAAAAATCGTAGATCTGGGGCTGATAGTTTGCAGTCTTAAGCACAATTTATCCCCCGCATAAGAATGTGCTTTTGTATTAAATGTTATTAAGAAGTAAGTAAACACGGTAAACATTTCAAATAGTTCTACTCTAAAATTTGTTTTTCGTAATTTAACACAGTTTATCACTTACCAAGCGGTAGATTATTTTTGGGAATAAACTCTTCTTTTAAAATGGCTATTTGTCTATCCTCTTCGGTTGGGTAAGCGAAATCCAACGTTTTCCAGTAATACCAAGTTTTAAAAGGACCAGTAGTTTCAATCCGAATTCCTTCGCTTCCAGTGTAATATCTAGGTTTAGGTTTTGCAACACTCAATGCTAACATGTACGTTAGCAAAGAGTTTGGTCCATAAGCAGGCGAACCTGTTGAACAAAATAATGTAATTATTACTACGCCTATACTATTTTCACAAACATAAAAACCAATAATGAAAAAAAGGGATATCTTCAATTTTTGGCCAATAATAGTAAAGGTAATAAAAATAATTGGTGGAAAAAATTAAACGATCTTAATATCTCTAGTATACCTAAATCTAAACCGAATGCTATTAAAAATCATTTTTTATAGACCTTTGCAAATGTATAGTTGCCAGGTAATGAATTATTACATTTTTATTATACAAATAGGAAAGTTAATATTACTGATTTACTTGAGTTTAAATTAATATATGAAAATATTGTTTATAAATATTTGCTGAATATTAAATCTAATGCTGTGGGTCTATAATCTAGACTGAGATCAAGTGCAATTAAAAATGTTACTATTATGTTATTATAAATTTTTGTTTGTTCAAATCTGATCTATTACGAACATTTTGTAAAATTTCAGGTGTTATTCTCCTGCACTCAGCTATTATTTTTTGACGAAGATCTTCTATGAAATTAGGCCGCGTAGCAAAACATTTATTTTTCAAGGGTTCCCAAAGAAAATAGTCCAGAGGCGATAAATTCAATTGGGCATCTCCTTCCAATCCACTATCCAGGGTACCGATTATTTAAAAATACTCTTACAGCACCAACATAGTGTTGAGGTACTCCATCTTGCTGGAAATAAAACTGATCAACATCATGATTTGGGTAATTTTCTAATGTTTCTGTTATAAGAGGGTCAATTTCATCTTCACCAATTAATATTCCACACCAGACATTTATTTTATCACGGAATAAATGTGGGTTACTGCCATCCCAGTAACGGCAATTATGCCTATTGAAAGATCCATTCAAATGAAATGTACACTCATCGGAAAAACAAATAATAAATCAGGATCTGCAATGAAACACTGGCTCATTTCTTCCCAAAACTGCAGCCTTCTATCAGGATCTTCCTTGTTCAGCTCTTGTACTAATCTAATTTTGTACGAATGAAATTTGTGATCTTTTAAAATTCTTATTATAGATGAACGAGAGACACCCGAGATCAAGCGCGTAGCTAGATTGTTTTCTTGGGGGGGGGGGGGGGTGACACTTTTCACATTATTAGTGAATGCGCATCGTGTTATCTTAGAATATGGTACAATTACAACGTCTAGAGTTCATATTTGTATTTAAAGAAAAAAAAGGGTGAGTTTTATAATGAAGTTTTTAATTTTTTATACATTTATACAGGGTGTTTCAGAATAAAGTACCGTAATTTTGGGGATTTGTAGATCTTAATCAATTATAAAGAGAAGCTAAATACAATTTTCCTATAAACGTCCAGTTTTCATTATACAAGGCGAATTTCATAAATACATATTTTCTTAATATCTTTCCTTACAGTAAAGATTTTAACTTAAAAATATTGTTACGCTGGTTTTTGGTAGGTATCATAATTTATTTCAACTCAACTTTAACAACAATTATACAACTGATAACATTAACGTATAACGTCTATCATAAAACTGAAAACTGATGTCAGGATCATCCTTATATAGCTTGCTTTTCGTCTAGAATATTCTTGACGGGTTATGACATTTCTGGACTATTCCATCTTCTTTTACTTTTACTTATAACGACTGCAGCATACTGTAGGGCGATTAGTAGCATTCCACTTCTTCTTCTATTCGTACGTTTCCTATAACAGCCGTAGGCTACTGTAGGGTGCTTCGTAACAATATGTATATGATAGGTAACACACTATTTCGATAAATTACCATAACCCATTGGTGTAGAATGAAGGGCTAAAGAAACAATTTTATTCAATACTTTTTGAACACCCTACATGTCAGAAAACTTAAGATTCATAAATATTTCTCACGCCATTTGTCACAAAAAAACGACTTCTGGTTGATCTTTTTAGACTATTCCATTTCTGAGGTGATACAACTGATTTATTTTATACAGAGTGTTTTGAAACATGTCTTAAATATGGCTTATTTTAAGTTCAATTTACTTAATTTTGTCAAATGCAACTGTATATTATTTTTGCATAAAATTATTTATAAATTTATCTATCCAAGGATACCTACATGTCCCAATAGTACGTAATTGATCGATAGCTGTTCTATTATTGGAAATAGCAAAAACAAATTAATATAAAAGTTGTATGACCATGTTAAATAAATATTCTTAAATATACAGGGTGGTCCATAAACGAGAGGCTGACCAAACTTGTACATTTTTATATTTGTTTTCACATCGTCAAACAACTTTAACAGACTTTATTTATTTGCTATGTTGTATATAGGGTGTTTCAAAATGGGAAGTAACGATTTTCTTATTTTTTAAATGGAATACCCTATATGTCATACCACCAATTAATTAATACAAGGTATTCCATTTAAAAAATTGAGAAAATCGTAAACTTACCCTATATACGACATAGTAAATGAATGAAGTCAATTAGAATTGTTTGGCGATGCATATATTACTATCTGCAGGGTGTCTTGCTTTAAAAAAGTATAGATTTGGTCAGCACCTCGTTTATGGACCACCCTGTATATTTAAGAATATTTGTTAATTATGGTCGTATAACTTTTATATTAAACATTTCTTCGGATTTCTAATAATAAAACAGCTATCGATCAATTATGCACTGATGGGACACCCTGTATATGTGTTATTGACTAACACATTGGTATTGTTACATGGGCACATTTATACAGAATTTTATGCCAAGATAATATCCAGTGTTTTGCCTTTGAAAAAAATTGAGTAAATTGAAATTAAAATTAGCCATATTTAAGATATGTATAGGATAAACAAGTTGTATCACCTCTATTCGTTAGCTTAGTATTTTATGTCTGTATATTAAATAATTTTGAAATTTATGTAAACCTACCTAAATTATGATAATTTAATTTGGGGTCTGCATCATTCTTTAATTTAAAAAAAAATTGTTTGGCAACACCGTGATTTTTTTAAAAATATTTTAGGGTAAAATACAGTATTCCCAAGCCATTCTAAAAATAAAATAAAATACAGGGTGTTCTATTTAAAAAACATACATTTTTATTTGTCAGACAAAAATATTTTTAAAATATGTATTTTTCAAATTTTTATTAAAACTTGTTTGCTTGTCAATAACACAAATTGAAATATTGAACAATAAGGTTTTAATGGGACCCTGTATATAAATTTTAATTTTAAATTTGCAGAAATATTATTATTTTAGATGACAATGTTTGAGAACCTCTTTGTTTTATTGTATTTATTTTATCTCTCTATTTTTGTTTAATATAACGTTTAAAAAAATATTGATATTGACTATGGGTTGGGGGGATTTGTAATAACCCCCATTACCTCCCCTTATCTACTCCCTTGCCCGAGACTTCAACTAGTTGACGAGTACTTTGCGTACGATCCAATTCAACATGTCCCAAAACAGCGACTTCCCAGCTACAATTCTAACCACTCGCTGCATCTGAATTTTCTTATTACATACAGATCCAGTATCGGAAAACTTTTGGACTATGTTGGTAACATACGAATGATTTACATTTTTATTGGGATGATTATTATTAAATAACCGAGCAGTATGCCTAGCTCAACTATTATTTTGAAAAGAAAGTTTCACAATTTCAATTCGTTCTGCAATGGAATAAACCATTTTTTACAATAAAATTAAAATAACTTTAAAAGCAACCAAATTGTAAAGAAACCACAATGAACGTTTGCCTAAATTGTTTTATTATTTTATTTCTTTACTACTTGTTTTTATTTTAACAAAGAACGCAAAAGATAAATCATAAATTTCGTTTTGATATTGCTACGGGGTGTTTTATTGACCCCGTCAGCGTAGCCACTAACTACCAGAAAAGGGTTGGAGGAGAACACAGAAAAATAAGAACACTTACAAAAAAAACCCAATTATATTTTCCACTATCAAAAATATAGACATAATAAAATATGGACAATCTACTTACATTCTTTTGAGGGCACCCTTTGTTCACTGGTTAGACACAACCTAACTTTTTTATCTAATTTAACTTAACCCCCTAGGCCGACGCCCCAAGCCAGCATGACCCCGTATCCATTCTTTTCTCGCATTCCCCACGGTGTTTTTCATATTGACCAATTGTTTAGATAATAATAAATTGCTGATAATTAAAATATTTTGTTAGATGGATTTTATAATATACTGGGCGTTATTTAATTTATTTATTTATTTAGATATTTATTAATTATTTTATAACGTAACAATATAGTAGATCTAGTTTTTATTGGAATTTCAGTCGTAAGTTTTTATTAAAATAAGTTATTTAGTACCTAGGTACTTATTGCAGTTATTCTGACTCTTAATAACCAAAATTTAAGTAAATTTTTCAATATCTATAATACCAAACTGCAGGGTTGAGGTTTCTAAAGCCGTTTTAGGATTAACTGTTTAAGTAAAATTATTATCCCTTTAAAATATTTAGTTCTTCTCCTCATTTTCCCCGCTTTAAAATTTTAAGGGTGTGATTGTCCCCATCAAGCGGTTGAAGATGCAAGTTAAAAAACATGCTGTAAATGTGTCCCTTTACAAACAAAATTCGACAGAAAGGCTAGGTGCATAATTTTCGCCCTCAAGAGGACGCTAAAATCTAAATTTGACACATTAATATTGGTATTACTAAATTTCTTATAAAATTAGCTTTTTAAAAATGTGCCACACTTAGTACTTTCCTTATCTAAATTATAGGGGTTGTTCACACCCTGCTCGAGAGTTGAAGTGTCAATGATGAAATTAGGAAAAAAATGTGTTCACCTCCAAACAAAAATCGACGTTTCCGAGCATTTCTTCTTAAAATCTGAGGTAACCAAGAAAAGTGGAGTGGATACTTTTCATTGGACCACGGTAGCCGTTTCCCTGTAAATAGTTGGTAACAAGTTTGTTTGACCTCGACAGTAGCGCGCTGAGCGCGTTATGATGAACTATAATTCTGTACAGTCGGTAAAGTAGA